GCTTGTAATCAAAATGCTAGGCTCTGAGTTCTTCAAACTCTAGTTCCTTGGAACCCAGGAGTTTCTCTCTCTTTCTCTCTCTCTCTATCGCTCTTGCTCTTAAATCTTATAAAAGCCTACCTGGCTCTAGCATGAAAGGCTAAAAGCCTTGGCTTTCACAATGTGTCACAACTGAAATGGTTTTATTTGGGAACTTAAAAGCTAAACATTGACTGCTTTGTTCATGTCTGGGTTCTACCCTCCTCCTCAAGTAAAAGAGGCAAGCCCCAGCTCCTTGGGTTGAGGGCCCCAAGCAACAGAAATGACCCAGAATGAAAAAGGCATTGATACTTCAGAATATCATCTGGCTGCATTGTGTAATTCAGGGCAGCCAGTCTGAGCTCTGGTTGGGGTGGATTTACCAAGTGCCTACTTAGCAAGTGCCAATTGCTCTTAGTGTTTTAGGCAGCCCAGTGGTGGCTGGTGGGCCAGGTGCACTTGCACTGCGTGAGTCAGGGGGCTCTCGAACAGGGTCTTTCTACTCAGTGGTCTCTGGAGAGATGCCCTGTCTTGGGTTTAGGTGCTGATGGAGTGTGATAGGAGTGCTGGTCTCTTTCTAGCTCTCAGAATATCAAAGTGGGCAATGTGGCAGTGGTTCCTTGCCAAGAATGAATGACATGAGAAGTGAGTAATGCAGCTTTTCCATGATTTGTTCTGTGTGTGTGTGCAGCAAGAACAGGTTTACACATGGAGGTGGTGGCCTGGTTTACACATGGAGATGGTACATACACTTGGACAAGTGTATGCCTGCCACTAAGCATTTTGGTCATTACAGGTGGCTTATAGAGTAAATAGGAGGGAAATATATAAATGTATCTATCTGTCTATCAATCAATCAATCATTAGTCCTGTAGTCAGTGTATCAGCCTATGAAATGTCTTGGCAACCCTTAGTAGTATCATGTAGGAGGTGACATGGAGCAAGGTAGGTGATGGCCTGGGGTCTGGAGCCCTCCTGTTTCTGGCTCAGCCAGTAGCCCTGGGGCCAGGCCATTGTGACTTCTCAGAGGCATTGATGGCTTCTTTTTGAGAAGGGGAGGACTCATGGAGGACTGCCAAATTCCATTCTAGCATTAACATTCTGTGTTCAAGGAAATGTTTCCCAAGACTACCATGTGGTTTGGCACCTGACTGGTAAAAACTAGTACCTGACTCTGTTAAAAACTAGTAGTGGGAGAAATGCTAAAAGAATAAGAATTATTTTTATAATCCACATTAAAACAGTATACATTAATAAAGTAGACTTTGACTCACGGCTCAGGTTGCCCTTTTCAGTGCTCAGCCCCCGCCTATCCACCCATATATGTACTCCATGACCCAAGGAAAATGAAAAGTTCTGTATTGTAAGCCCTCTATTCCCCTATGCTTTGTTTGAAATCGTTGAATGTTGTTCTGTTCAAATTCAAAATAGTGAACTAAACCCCGATATTTACAGCCTTCTACCCCCTAGCTTTCATCATTATGACAAGAGGAATACACAGACTTAGGGAGGGGTGGGGTCTGTCGTGGAAGGAGCCATCCAGAGGCGAGGAACATCATGTAGATCGTAGAGGTTATATTGCAGGTGGGTCCAGAGTTTCAAAGTCATCACCCGGGACAGGAGCCGCCTCCCTGAAGAGGAAGAAGAGCTCCCCTACCATTACCCCCTTCCCTTTCCTCGCCAGCTGAGTCTCTTTAACCTTTAACGCTTCCCTGGGGGAAGGAGAGGGGAGGATCATTTCACTGGTAGTTGTCAACCTCCCCTGGACATTGGAAGGACCTGAGAAACAAACAATACTGATGCCGGAGCTTCTGATTTCATTGGTTTGGGGTTCAGCCTGGGCAGTGGGCTGTTTAGTGTGCCACCAAGTTGAGAACCACTGCCACAGGAAGGCAACAGGAAGCCACCTTGGTACAACCTGTGGAACTTCGCTGATGAAGGCTCCTTAGAGTGCCCTGTTCCTTAGAGAAACAGGCGCTACTCTGTGAATTTCAAGCTGTCTAAACAAACGTATTATAATCCTTCTCACACCAGGAATCTCCACTGCCCCAATCCTTCTCTTTCTCCTCCCACAATGCTGTCACCTCTCTACCTCTCCTCAGGACAAAGGGGCATCTCATGTGGACAGCCATAGAAATACCCCATACCTTCGGTGGGGAAAGAACATAATCTCTGGCAGAACTTGCTTCAATTCTCACTTGAAGTCTAGAGGGAGGAAAATGTCTTATAACAGAAAAAGGAAATAAAAATGGAAATCATCAAATAGGATGGCAAAAGTCACTTATTAAGAAAAAAAACTCCTAAGATTAATCTTATTAATACTCAGAGAAAAAAATATGAACCAGTCAAAACTGAAGTGAGATTTTTGTGAGAGAAACGTGTCACATTAATACTAAAATATACCTAGTTAAATGAATTCATGAGAATAGCAAGGAAATATTGAAATAGAAGAGTAATGACTATGAACTAGTTTTACTAGTTATTAACATTTTATTTATTTATTTATTTTTATTTTTGAAATGGAGTCTCACTCTGTCACCCAGGCTGGAGTGTAGTGGTGTGATCTTGGCTCACTGCAACCTCCACCTCCCAGGTTCAAGCGATCCTCCCGCCTCAGCCTCCTGAGTAGCTGGGATTACAGACATGTGCTACCACACCTGACTAACTTTTGTATTTTTAGAGATGGGGTTTCACCATGTTGGCCAGGCTGGTCTCAAACTCCTGGCCTCAAGTGAACTGCCCACCTTGGCCTCCCAAAGTGCTGGGATTACAGGTGTTGAGCTACCACACCTGGCCTATTAACATTTATTATAAAGCTACAGTATTTAAAACGATATGGTACTGTTACCAGAATGAGTCAGTGGGACAAAATAGAAAATCCAAAAATAGATCTAAGTCCCATGATAATTAAATATGTGATAAAGATAAAGGCAATACTTGAAATCACTGGAGAAAATATGGATTATTTAATTATGTTGGTATAACTGCATAAGCATTATTAAATATAATAGATATTTACCTCTTTTTGCCAAAATCCAAATGGATTATAAAAGTAAAAGTTCTGACATGAAAAATAAATAAATAAAAATACTAGAATAAAATTTAGTTGAGTATTTATATAGAACTGTGGAGAATAAACCAGGAATAGAAAGTGTGATTAGTTGGACTGTTTATACTCTGAAATTTGTGCATTCATGCCACAACAAAACAGTAACCCTTTCTCTGCCCTACCGCCAGCACAAACTTCAAAAACAAAACGAGAAAAAAAAAAAAGAAGAAGAGATGATAAGTTGGGAATAATGTTTGTACCAGAAATGACAGATAAAGGGTAAATATGTGTAGTATAAAGGGACTTCTAAACATTTTAAGAAAAATAGTGATATCAGGTCGGTGCAAAAGTAATTATGGGTTTTGCCATGGAAAGTAATGGCAAAAACTGTGATTGCTTTTGCACCAACCCTAATAGAAAAATAAATTGACACTAAATGTCAGATATTTTAGAACAAATTCATGTTCTATGACCATGAAATCCTTTTCTTGGAATTTATCCTCAGGAACTAATTGTGCACATTTGTGGATATTTATGTGTAAGCTTTTTTTCCCCCCCCCCCAAAGAATTGTCTATAAAAGCCAAGGGGGAATAAAAGAGACAACAGAAAGAAATGAAGCCAAAGGAAGAGAAGTCAAGAAAAACAGGGAGGGAGAAGGAAGGAAAGAAGGAAGGAAGGAAGGAAGGAAAAGAAGAGATGAAAAGAAGAGAAGGAAGGAAAAGAAGGAAGAACCATAAATGTCCAACAACAGGAGACTAGTTGAAGAAATGTTACATTGTTAGAGTTGACAGCTAGTCAGTAACTAAAAGTAAAATTGGAATATATTCACCCTAGTGGGTACAAGAAGAATCTTTTATGAAAACAACTATATGTAAATATATGCACAAATGTAATCATGAAGACATCTGGAATCTGAAAGCTAGCCCAGTTATCTCTGGGGTAATGGGTTACAGCTTTGATTTTTCTTTCTCCATTTTGCATACATGTATTTTTTCTTTACAATTAGCATGCTTTTGTTTTGAAAAAAATTGTTTTTGATGTTATTCTGGGAATAGATGTCAGTAAATATTCTTGTCTGTAAATTCTGGTCTTGCCTTTCTTGTCCTGGTTTCTCTCCTCCCAGCCCTCATCCTGCCCATGCACTAGGAAGATCTTGCTGACCACCAAGGTCTTCCCTGCTACCCTCTCCCCAGAGCTCCTGAACCATGAGTGATATACACTTCATATTTGTTCTCTAAAAGTATTTTGGCCATGCACAGTGGATCACGCCTGTAATCCCAATACTTTGGGAGGTTGAGGTGAGCAGATCACTTAAGGCCAGGAGTTCGAGACCAGCCTGTCCAATATGGTGAAACCCCACCTGTACTAAAAATATAAAAATTAGCCAGGCGTGGTGGAGCACACCTGTAGTCCCAGCTGCTTGGGAGGCTAAGGCACAAGAATTGCTTGAACCTGGGAGCCAGAGGTTACAGTAAGCCAGGATCACACCATTGCACTCCAGCCTGGGCGACAGAGCAACACTCTGTCTCAAAAACAGATTAATAAAAGTTTCTCATGTATTTTCCAATCCCCACAAAGAAACTGTAAGCTCCCAGAGAGAAGGAGGTGGGCCTTGTGATTCCTCTGTCCCTCCCTTAGGACTCCAGTTGGAGCTGAGTGACTGCTTTTGGGAGATGGGCTGGGCATGACTTCTCTGCCTGGGAGTATTGAAAAGACAGACACTGGGCTTATGGGGTCAGCGCAGGCAACTGGGAGAGCTGAGGCAGCCAGAGACCAGAAACAGCACCCGTGAGCTGGGTGGAGCTGGCCTTGTTGTGGGAAGGAAGCAGGGCCTGCTGTTAAGGGTCTGTCTAAGTTTTTCCACATTTCCAATTTCCCATGGATAATCTATCATGTTAACTTGTACTTTTTGTCTCCATATCATGCGGACAGGTTCTAACATTCCCATGGACCAGCCCTGCTGTCGTGGTCTCTATGACTTTGAGCCAGAAAACCAAGGAGAATTAGGATTTAAAGAAGGGGACATCATTACATTAACCAATCAAATAGATGAAAACTGGTATGAAGGAATGATACACGGGGAATCCGGATTCTTCCCCATTAATTATGTTGAAGTGATCGTGCCTTTACCTCAGTAAATGTGTAACACACTCTGGACATACTTTCATAACTGAAATGAATTCACACCAATGTGCTCTCAGTGTGGTGTTCTGTGACATCCTTTGCTATTTGACCAACTTAATGACTTTTGTATGTGTGTTCTCTTTATAATGTATTTTGTATCACTTTAGTTTGTATAAATGATTTTCTTGTCTTTGCTACATGAAAATATTGTTTTCTTTTTTGCTTCTTGTCCTAAAAGTCATTGGTTAAACGTATATGCTTCCTGTTACTAAAAATAAGTCTCACCCATTGCAGTTATGTCAATGAATGGCCTGTATTCCTCAGCTGCAATGAAATGGTAACATTTGAAACTAAGAAATGCTAAATATTTTGTTTCTCGACATTCCTGATGACATCTGGTCTTTTTTCTTCATTGTATTTTAAGCTTACCTGTGAATAGCCCAATAAACATGACACACTGTGTTGGCAAAAGGCCTTGGTTATTTTTAAGTTGAATTGTTGATTTTTAAGTCTTCCAGCTGCAAATTGACACCCCATGGCCAACCAAAGTGTCACAGCGTGGATGCTTAGATGATGCCTTCTGATGGGAGCCTTCACTTTCCACCTGATTCAAACATGACACTCATCCTCCTTCCAGTTGGGGGATGGAAAGCCCTTCTGCCAACTTCAAGTTTATTTATGGAAGACCCCAAATCAAGCTTCTGCTGCTGCCACATTTTGGATAGGTTTTTTGAGCAAGTTGTGTTATGGATGCTCAGGAAGTAGTATGGTCAAGAGTTGGTTGAGTCCCCAATAACATCCTCTTAGGCTCAGTGAACCAGTGCCTGGCCTTGCCTACAGTACCCACTTGTCACATGCTTTGGCCCACTGGAGTCTACAATCCTATTATGGGAAGGGGCAGGTATTATTTCCCATTTGAAAAGAAGGAGGCTCATTGACTGACTTACCTAGGATCAAACGACCACATACAGGCACACCTCAGAGATATTGCAGGTTCTGTTCCAGGCTACTTACTGCAATAAAGCAAATATTGCAGTAAAACAAGTCACACAAATTTTGGGGGTTTCCCAGTGTATAGAAAAGTTGTGTTTACACATAGACACAAGGAGGCGAACAACACATACTGGGGCCTGTTGCTGGGGGAGGGGAGGAGGGAGAGCATCAGGAAAAATAGCTAATGTGTGTTGTGCTTAATACCTAGGTGATGGGTTGATAGGTGCAGCAAATCATAGTGGCACACATTACCTATGTAACAAACTTGCACATCCTGCACATGTACCCTGGAACTTAAGAAGAGTTGTGTTTACACTATGCTGTAGTCTATTAAATGTGTAGAAGCATATGTCTTAAAAAACCAAAATACACATCTTAATTTAAAAATACTTTACTACTAAAAAATGCTACTGATTATCTGACCCCTCAGCAAGTGGTAATATTTGTGCTGCTGGAAGGTCTTGATATTGATGGCCACTGACTGATCAGGGTGGGGTTGCTGAAGGTTGGAGTGTCTGGCAATTTCTTAAAATAAGACAACACTGAAGTTTGCTGTATGGGTTGACTCTTCCTTTCACAAAGGATTTCTCTGTCACATGCAATGTTGATAGCATTTTACATACAACTTCTTACAAAATTTGAGTCAGTCCTCTCATCCTACCACTGCTTTATCGATTAAGTGTACATAATATTCTAAATCCTTTGTTGCCATTACAATAATGTTCACAGCATCTTCACTAAGAGTAGATTCTATCTCAAGAAATCACTTTCTCTGTTCATCTGTAAGAAGCAATTCCTCATCTGTTCAAGCTTTTTTATGAGGTTGCAGGAATTCAGTCACATCTTCAGTCTCCACTTCTAGTTCACCTGTTATTTCCACCACATCTGCAATTACTTTCTCCACCGAAGTCTTAAACCCTTCAAAGTCATCCAAGAGGGTTGAAATCCACTTCTTCTAAACTCCTGTTAATGTTGTTATTTTGACTTCGTCCCATGAATCACAAATGTTCTTAAAGGTATCTAGAATACTGAGTCCTTTCCAGAAGATTTTCACTTTACTTTGCCCAGATCCATCAACAGAATCACTATCTATGGTAGCTGTAGCCTTACAAGATGTATTTCTTGAGTAATAGACTTGAAAATAGAAATTACTTCTTAATCTGTGGGCTGAAGAATGGATGTTATTTTAGTAGGTGTGAAAACAACATTCATCTCCTTGCATATCTCTATCAGAGCTCCTGGATGACGAGGTGCATTGTTAGCAGAAATATTGTGAAAGGAATCTTTTTCTCTGAACAGGAGATCTCAACAGTAGGCTTAAAATATTTAGAAAGCCATGCTATACACAGATATACTGTCATCCAGACTTTGTTCCATTTATAGAGCACAAGCAGAGCAGATTTAGCATCATTCTTAAGGACCCTAAAATTTTTGGAATGGTCAGTGCGCATTGGCTTCAACTTAAGCTGTATTAATGCCTAACAGGTAAGTTAATCCATCCTTAGAAGCTTTGAAGCCAGAGATTGACTTCTCTAACTGGGAAAGTCCCAGATGACATCTTCCAATGTAAGGCTGTAGCCTACATTGAAAACCTGTTGTTTATTGTATCCAACTTCATCAATAATCTTAGCTAGATCTTCTAGGTAACTTACTTCTCCATCAGCACCTGCTGCTTCACCTTGCACGTTTATGTTATGGGAGTGGCTTCTTAAACCTCATGAACCCACCCCTGCTAGCCTCAGACTTTTCTTACGCAGCTTTCTCACCGCTCTCAACTCTGGGTTAGGCTTTGGCTTCAGGTAATGCAGCTGGTTGTTCATCAGACCACTCAAACTTTCTTCATATCAGCAAGAAATCTGCTTCGCTTTCTTATCATTCGTGTATTCACTGGAGCAGCACTTTTAATTTCCTTCAAGGACTTTTCCTTTGCATTCACGACTTAGCTAACTGATGCAAGAGGGCTTTCAACCGACCCTGGCTTTCAAAAAGCCTTCCTCACTAAGCTTAATCATTTCTAGCTTCTGATTTAAAGTGAGAGACCTGTGACTCTTCTTTCACTTGAACATTTAGAGGCCATTGTAGGGTTACTAATTGGCCTAATTTCAATATTGTTGTATCTCAGGAAATGGGGAAGCCTGAGAGGGGGATGGCCAGGCAGTGGAGCAGTCAAAACACACACAACATTTATCAGTCAAGTTCACCATCTTATATAAGCATGGTTAGTGGCGCCCCAAAACAGAATAGTAACATCAAAGATCACTGATCACAGATTACCATAACCTATATGGTAATGAAAAAGTTTAATACATTGTAAGAATTACCAAAGTGTGACAGAGACAGAAAGCACGTGCCGTTGGAAAAATAACGCAGATAAAAATAGGGTTACCACAAACCTTCAAAGATTTTACAAACCTTTCTAAAAATCACAGTATCTGTGAAGTGCTATGAAAAGAGGCATCCCTGTTGTGGCAGAGGCAGAGTCTGAAATCAGATTGTCTGCTGTACCTCACTGCACACTTAAGTGTTCACCCACGTCACTTGGAAATGCACTGCTGTTCATTGACTTTGTAACAAATGCCCAGCAGCCAGACTGATCACCTAAATCAGGTAACTTAAGCCAGGTTTCTCGGTCTTCTGATTCCATGGTACATCAGTAAATTCACGACAATATACTTTCCCTCCAGCCAGCTATACACACACACACACACACACACACACACACACACACACACACACACCCACACCCCACTTCTCCAGAACAGTTGTACATTCAGTGTCTGTAACCAAATAATGATGATAATAATAATACCTAACTCTTGTAGGCTTATTATGTGCTAGGTGCTCTTCCAAACATTTTGCCTGAATAAACCCATTTAATTCTCATTAACAATCCTCTGAGGCAGATCTTATGCCCATTTTTCGGATAAGGGAACGGCAATGCCATAACACTGAGTAACGTCCAGAGTCATACAGTTAATCAAGTGGCAGAGCTAGGATTCTAACCCAGTCTCCCTCTCATGCCCATGGTCTTTGCCTTTCTGCTATACTACATCCCACTATGTGTTTGTTCATGTATATTCACAAAGCAGCCTTTTTCCACCCTCCATCAGCATTCATTCTCTAGATGTCACATTAGAAATTTACCAAGGGGCATGAGAAATGCAGGACTATTCTCAATGCTCATGATATGCTGAGCTGTCTTGTTTGGTTAATAAATAGTAAGTTAAGTTTATTGGGAGCTATAGATTAAACTAATGATAACAACAACAAAAAGGTTCAGCAATTTACATCGGATTACTGACATGGAATTGAAATGAGACTTGTGTCTGTTGACAGATACCTGCCAAGGAGGAGATACAAGGATCATGACCTGGCAGTGACTGTAAATGAAAGTGTTTGTATGTACAGTGCTTCTTCCCTGGCTTCTGGCCTCAGCTGTAGGGCAGGATGTTGTCTCTACAGAGTCTGCACCCAGATAGTGTCTCACACATGCTCAGGGAAAAATTGGGCCAGTTGCAACATGGCAGTAACCACTGTCTTCCCTTCACCCGGCTCTACTACTCCTAATTCCATTATACCCTTGCACATCACTTCTTCTGGCATTGCCTCTGCTACTGGCCTCCTCTCCCTTCTGTTGGGCATGGACTGGTGCCCACAGGCATTGCACCTGAGGCAATGGAGGCTTTGACACACCAAAGCAACACCATATTCTGTTGGAAAGTGCAGAACGCCCCTCCTGCTGCCTGCATTGCTTCCTGGAGATGGGATCCCAAAGCAAGTTTGCTTATCCTCTGCTATTTCCCCCAGACTAATAACCAATAATTGTATTGGTTCTGCCTTAAAAACATCCTCAATATAGGTTTCAAGTATGAGTCCAGATAGAAGCTAGACCAGAAAATGAATACGGTTGGTAGATATCACCATACCTTAATAAGATTGTGCTACTGTTTCTCTCATAAGATTGTGCTACTGTTTCAATTATGTATTGGCACATAATGCTGTGTAAAAAGCCACTCCCAAATCAGTGACTTAACATAATACATATTTACTGAGCTCACAAGTCTGCAGTTGGTGATGTAGTCTGGGTAGCTCTTCAGGTCTCATTCACAGGACTGGGGGATAGCTGGCTGTTGGTTGGAGCTGCACAGGTCTGGAGGTTGGCTGGGGTGAATCAGTTCTGCTCCACATTCTCCCTCCAGCAGGCTAGCCTGGGCATGGTCTCAAAGCGAAGGCAGAGCTAACAAAAGCACAGGTGGAAAGGTCAAAAAGTTTACTCAAGTCCCTGTTTACATCCAGCCTGCTACCATCTCACAGGCTGGGCCCAGCATCGGAGTGGGAGGGTTTTTCAGCATTGCATGGTAAAGGGTAAAGAAGTAGGGACACGAATGTATCACAGTTCTAATATGAATAGCCATTAGCTATTCTCCCATAAAGCTTGTCTGTCTGGCTTCCCCTTCCTTGAGGATATATTTTCTTCT